GCCACAAAGAACCGGCAAAAGTAATGATTATGAATAATTTCAAGGGGTCATTTTAATTGTTTATTAATAAACAAGTCTTTGTCAGTGTGGCTGCAAATATAAAGGTGATTATGCTGACTCGCGATCTTCGCAGTAGTGAACGCGCCAGAGAGATTACATTTACATTTACGGATTACAGAAGCAGAGTCTGTAGGCTGTTTTCTTTCGTTTTGAATTATTCTGTTAAAAAGTAGACATGTCAAGCTTTCAATATATTTATCTGTAAAAGTTTTAAAGTCACTTTCAGAGCGGTCATGTCCGTAACGGAGAACTGTCACGTCAGTAAAAAAAAAAATCCCTCATAAATGTGAACACGAAAAAAATAAAAATAATATTTTGTGTTATTAACAGTCTCAAACCAGGACAATTCGATGATTGTTGTGGTTATGTCTTATTTCGACATATGTGTGCTGCATGCAACAATCAAGATGTGCATTTGTAAATCCAGCTATATTTGCTTTTTATTAATTAAATCCAGGTTTGGTTGATGAAAAATTGATTAAAATTAAGATACAATTTATACAAAACGAAATTTAAACTTTAAAGAAAGGCTTTCTACAAAACAACACTTAATAAAGTGGTCAAAATCATGTTTGGGCATGTCTCCCGATATATTGCGTATAGGCTATACTTTTCATAATAAACATAGATGAAAAAAACATTATAATAAATATGAAACTAAATGCGCTTATTACGTCTTTCTTCTGTGGATTTATTCAGCTCCTGATTGGTCAAATTCAGATAGATCGACAAATCGGCTCATTCAACCGCACAGCGCACACACCTCACGAATTTAAGCCTACAGCTCCCGAACTTTTTAGACATGTTTAAAAATTATCGTGAGGTCGAGAGGTTCGGCGCTCGGCTCGGCTCGTATCTTCCTGGCACACACGAGCCGCAACATGCGAGCACAACCGATTTCACAGCGATTTCTCCCGAGTGAAAAAAATCATCTGCGAGCTCGTAAAACAGCAAAAAATCGCACTGTGTAAGCCCGCCTTAAGGGAGTATGAATATATAAACAGACGTTTCAGTATTAAGCATTTTCTGAGAATTTATATTTCAAGTTTTGACTGCAAATGTCACGTCCACAATGCTGGAATTGCCCAATTTTAAAGAATTTATCCTCAAGTTTTTTTGGCGCGCACTGTCAGACAGCGCCAAACTGGATTTTTGTTGGGTCAGACCAATCTGATAGCGATGGGGGGCCGAGACCGAGAGAGCTGTAGCTACATGGAAAGAAATATGCACCAAACAAGCCACTTTGAAATTTAGCTGTTTTGATGAATACAAAAGTTGGGTGACCCTCCCCTATAGACTAAAAAAAGTTGGATGACCCTCCCCTCAACAAAGAATAAAAAGACATGACCCTCCCCTATTTTCCTCCGGTGGCCCTTTCCATAAATTCCGAACGGTCCCTTACTGCTACAAACTGATAACGGTCAGATAAGTATGATTTAAACCATGCTAGTGCAATTCCACTAATACCAACATAATTTTCTAGTCTATTTAAAAGAATGTTTTGGTCAATTGTGTCAAATGCAGCACTAAGATCAAGTAACACTAATAGAGAGATACAACCACGATCGGATGATAAGAGCAAATCATTTGTGACTCTAATGAGAGCTGTCTCGGTACTATGGTACGGTCTAAATCCTGACTGAAAATCCTCGCAGATATAATTTCTTTCAAAAAAAGAACGCAGTTGTGAGGATACTGCTTTTTCTAATATCTTTGACAGAAAAGGCAGATTCGAGATCGGCCTGTAATTTACTAATTTTGTATGATCAAGTTGCGTTTTTTTAACAAGCGGTTTTATCATAGCCAGCTTAACCCTTTCACGCATACGATCACACCGGTGTGATCAGTCTTGGCTGGTCCCTGGAGCGTACGATCACACCGGTGTGATTAGAACGGTCAGTGCATCACGTGATTAACTGCTAAATTCAAACGTGCTTTCACGTGTTGGCTGGCGCTGAGCCAGAGACAGACGCACTCAGTGCTGTCATGTATCACAACTATTGAGTGCTTTCAACCACATAATGTTTATTTTAGGTTTCAGACATTTAAATACACATAAGTACTAGCAAAACAATGATTTTGAGTTTGTAAAATACACACTGATGTCTATGGAAGCTGCAATAATAATCCTTTCCATTATAATAAGACTACACATTTTATTCATTTCAGATACACATTGTGTAAGTAGCTTTACATTTGACCCTATTCTTCTCCCAGTTCACCGGCCACTTACTTTCATGTATTTCGTGAGAAGTGGAGGAATTGACGTGTTGTAAATCCAACAGATCCGATTCTCTGAACTGTAAACATACTAAAATGGCGCTGCCCATTGTGCATACAGCTCAACTAACGCGATCGTTATAAAGATGTTTAACCCTTTCACACGTAAGTTTAAAATATTCTAACTGACCCCCCAGCGTGAGTTTTTCAAGGCGACCGTTATTTAGAACTTGTCACTTTAATGTTTCCATGGTGACGTGTCATTTCTTGTCACGTGACACAGCGCAATCACAACACAGAGCTGAATGAGTGATGATCTGCTTTTATGTCTTTTTTCCTTTTCTATTCAAAATATTCACAGATGTATTAGCTACAGCATGAAACACTGATATTCCGATTGTCAAATATGTGCAAGTGGATGGGTTTTGTTGTTTAAACATCTTTATAACGATCGCGTTAGTTGAGCTGTATGAGCGATGGGCGGCGCCATGTTAGTTTGTTTCACAGTTCAGAGAATCGGATCTGTTGTTTCTCACGAAATACATGAAAGTAAGTGGCCGGTGAACTGGGAGAAGAATAGGGTCAAATGTAAAGCTACTTACACAATGTGTATCTGATATGAATAAAACGTTTCGTCTTATTATAATGGAAATGATTATTGTTGCCGTTTCCATAGACATCAGTGTCTATTTTACTAATTCAAAATCACTGTTTTGCTAGTACTTATGTGTATTTAAATGTCTGAAACCTAAAATAAACATTATGTGGTTTAAAATACTCAATAGTTGTGATATATGACAGCACTGAGTGCGTCCGTCTCTGGCTCAGCGCCAGCCAAAGCGCGAAAGCACGTTGAATTTAGCAGTTGCTCACGTGATGCACTGACCGTTCTAATCACACCGGTGTGATCGTACGCTCCAGGGACCAGCCAAGACTGATCACACCGGTGTGATCGTACGCGTCAAAGGGTTAAACAACAAAACCCATCCACTTGCACATATTTGACAATCGGAATATCAGTGTTTCATGCTATAGCTAATACATTTGTGAATATTTTAAATAAAAAAGGAAAAATGACATAAAAGCAGATCATCATTCATTCAGCGCTGTGTTGTGGTTGCGCTGTGTCACGTGACAAGCAATGACGCGTCACCATGGAAACATTAAAGTGACAAGTTCTAAATAACGGTCGCCTTGAAAAACTCACGCTGGGGGGTCATTTAGAATATTTTAAACTTACGTGTAAAAAGGGTCAAAGGTTTTTGGTATCCTAGAGACAAAGATGAATTAATGATATGAAGAAGAGGATCTATGACATCTGGAAGCATCTCTTTCAGTAGCTTAGTCGGTATAGGGTCAAACATACAAGTTGTCGATTTAGATGAATTAACGAGTTTGCTAAATTCTTCCTCTCCAATAGCAACAAATGAATCAAATGTTTCCTCAGGGAGAGTACAATGCACCCCCTGATGCGATACTGTAGTAGACGGTTGCATAGTTATAATTTTGTCCCTGATATTATCAATCTTATTAGTGAAGAAGTTCATAAAGTCATTACTGCTGTGTTGCTTGGGCACTTCAGACAGATCTAGCAGCTTTTAAAGCATCTCTGTATACAATCGAGCTCTCTTTCCATGAAATCCAAAATACCTCTAGTTTTGTTTTCTTCCAGTTGCACTCCATTTTTCTGGCTGCTCTCTTAAGGGCCTGAGTGTGCTCGTTGTACCATGGCGTTGGACTATTTTCTTTAATCTTCTTTAAGCGCAACGGAGCAACTGCATCTAAAGTGCTGGAAAAGAGAGAGTTAAAAGTTTCTGTTGCAATATCAAGTTCTTCTAAGCTATCCTGGATGCTGAGATGATGAAACTGATTAGGAAGATTATTGATAAAGCAATCTTTAACACCTCCTCCTTTGCCTTTCAGACGAGGTTCATGTTTATAACTGTAATCTTGTGTGGTTGACTCATTTAAAGTAATGCACATCTAGATTATAATCTGAAATCATATCATTAACTATGAGTGATTTTGAAGAAAGGGATCGAATATTCAGCAACCCAAGCTTTATTATTTGCTCATCTGTATTATATCTGTTTTTTATTTGTTGAACATCAATTAAAATTTTAACCTGACGTTTTTTGGATTTCCAAATTCGGGGAACAGACACAGTCTCTATATGACTCTATATGAGACACGGTCTCTCATTACTCTTTCACGCCGGAAAGCCCGCTGATCGTGTAGCCTGTACACCAGACACGTGCCATCTTTATTTTCACCATGGAAACAAATGAAGACTTCACACTTTACACCTACCTTTGTCTAGGCGTAAGATTTATTCTCAGACGTGCGCTACGCCCAGATGGTGCAACACTTATTAATTCTACGTAGGACTTAAAAAACGCATTTTATGTTAAGCTTAGTCTTACGACTGGTGAACGTCCAGCTGGTGCAACCGACCCCAGGTGTTTTTCAGAATCGATACTGAAGTAAAAGTTTTACATAAAATAAAATAAAAATCACAATTCAACTGTTTTTTTAAGACACAATGTTTTTAATGCTACACAGAAGTATACAGAGATAAAACAATACATATATATATAATTTGTATAATTTATCCTGAAGCCTTTCGGTAGTCCGGTATTGACCCAATTATTTACCAGTCCAAAAAAAATATAAAGTAAAGTATTAGGGCTTCTTTCCAGTATGAACTCGCACATGTGCTTTCAGTGATCTCGACCGACTGAAACTCTTGTCACAATATGAGCACTTGTAAGGTTTTCTCCAGTATGAATTCTTTGGTGCCGTTTCAGATTACTAGATTCAGTAAAGCTCTTCCCACAGTCACAACACACATGATCTCTCGCTTTGTGTATTCTCTGGTGCTTTTTACAACTGATCCGCCCTGAAAAACTCTTTCCACAGATAGAACACACATAAGGCTTCTCATCTGAATGAACTAACAGGTGTTTGTTTAATTTTGATGATGAAATAAAACTCTTTCCACACTGAGTACAGTCGTACGGCTTCTCTCCAGTATGAACTCGCTTGTGTGTTTTCAGTGTTCCCAACAGAGTGAAACTCTTGACACAGTATGAGCACTTGTAAGGTTTTTCTCCAGTATGAGTTCTTTGGTGCAGTTTCAGATTGGCAGCTCTAGTAAAGCTCTTCCCACAGTCACAACACACATGATCTCTCACTTCATTATGCGTTTTCTGATGCAGTTTAAAATGATCCAGTCGTGAAAAACTCTTTCCACAGAGAGAACACACATAAGGCTTCTCATCTGAATGAACTTTCAGGTGATTTTTTAGTTGTGATGATGCATGAAAACCTTTACCACACTGATCACAGTTAAATGGTTTCTCTCCAGAGTGAATACGCAGATGAACACGGAGAGCTGATGCATGAGAAAAACTCTTCTTACACTGAGTGCATGGATACGGTTTCTCTCCAGTGTGAATTCTCATGTGTGTCTTAAGGCTTACTTTTCGACTGAAGCTCTTTCCACACTGAGTGCATGTATACGGTTTCTCTCCAGTGTGAATTCTTATGTGTGTCTTAAGGCTTACTTTTCGACTAAAGCTCTTTCCACACAAAGTGCAGGTGTGCAGCTTTTTGGCTTTTGTTTCTTGAATTTTAAAGTCATGATGTTCCTCAATTTTCTCCAGTTGTTGTCTTTTCTCTTTCACTTCCATCCAATCTAAAATAAACATAAAATTAGAATCCGTTTAAGTGAACCCTGATTAATAACAGAAAGCAACAGAGATCAAGTATCAGACCTTTGATGTGCCAAAGTTTAGTTCTGTCATTCTCTTGTTAATATGATCAAAATGTGTTTGACAACTGTTATAGCCTACAAGATTATGATTAAAAGTACATAAAAGATGACGATTAAAATGATATAAGCATTTCTTCAGAATTTTTCATTCATATACTGATTATTATTCCACAGCTACCAAAGCAAACAACAATGAAGAACCAAGAATGGACACCAACCTATTTGTTCCTCAGTAACTTCATGTTTTATTCTGGATGGTTCTGGATCACTCATGTCTTCAATCTCCACTTTAATAACCTCCATCTCCTCTTTAATAAACTCCGTCTGCTCTTTAATAAACTCCGTCTCCTCTTTAATAAACTCCATCTTTAACAGTCACACAGATTTCAGCTGCTACTCCTGGAGTTTGTCCTTCTCTTGTAGGATGATGGGAATATTCCCAGTATTTATTGGTGAATTGTTGTGGGATGGACACCAGATCTGCCAAATTCAAAGAGAAATTACTGAATTACTTGCATTTAAATTAATTGAACTTGGATGCAGTTGCATTTAAAAAAAGGTTTGTTTAATGCTGGTCCAACATCTGAGAGAAATAACAGGACCATCATATTAAACTGAGCTGCTGAAAAGCCTTGTTGTCTCCAATAGTTCCCTGTTTTCACCTCATTCACAGGGCTTGATTTGAAAGAGGATGCGGAAAATATTGTTGAGAAAAATGTAAAAAGCTGTGTAAAACCACCATCCACCCTTACCCATCCCCTTTAGATTAACAGTGTTGTGTATTATATTAAACTTATTAATAAATGGTCAGGAGAACGTTTCAAGCGCATCTTTTGACATTCTTTTAAAAGAAGAGAACAGAAGTTATGTGTGGCGAGCAGGACAAGGCTGAGGGCCGTGAGAGAGCGGCGCAAGGCCGGTGGCGTGATTACTAATGAGCGACACCTGCACGACGCACCGGTCTCGTATCTCTCACGGAGGAGCGGGAGCATAAAGGAGGAGCAACGACAGTGAAGATCGAGAGAGGCCAGGCCTGGATTTATGTTGTGTTTTGTTATATGTGATAGCAGTCATCTGTGAGGGGCTGCGGTCTTTACTTACATTTTGTATTTGTTTATTTTATTATTAAAGTCTTTAAATGTTCGCTGATTCTCGCCTCCTTCCCATAACACCTGAACTAGGGCTGGGCGATATGGCCTAACAAAAAAATCCCCGATTTTTTCACAAAAAATCCGATTTACGATTTAAATCGATTTTTTTTCTTACCCTACTTAAAATCAATCTGCAGATGACAAAGAAATTGTTCAAAACAAGTTTTAACTTTATTTTGTTTTGATAATCCCTTCTGGGATATTATCTGGATTAAAGTGTAATCAGAAACAACAAGCCAAAAAGACAAGAGGGCAGGCCCAGTCTTTGTAAATAGTGTAAATGTAACATAACATAAAATGGGTGGATTGGGGGGATGTGTAAAAAAAAAAAAAACAATCTTGCATCACAATAAGTTTATTGTGATTGTCAAATTATTTGATAACTAAACATAATTTTATCAAGTTTATTAACTATAAACACAATGTTTACATGGTACAAAGACTGGTATGCTACTGTTTTTATTATTGCTTAACTCAAATTTCACAATTTCAATTCAATTCTTGTGATTTTGATTCTGATATTGATTCAATATCAATTCCTTTGGATAAATATTAGGTACAGTAGATACGTTAATGTGTTATGTTAATTGTTCTCCAAAAATAAATCACCTAATGCTGTAAACATACAGAGAGCCCTGTCAGCTATTATTATTAAAGGTTAAAACTAACTCAAATTAAACATTAGGGATGGCCCGATACCGATACTGGCATCGGGGATCGGGCCGATACTGTCCTAATATACTCGTACTCGTACTCATAAAAATTCGCCGATACCACGCACCGATACCACGTACATTTTGCAAAACGAAACTGGCCGCCGCGAGTGCTTTGTCGAGGTGAACTGAGGCATAGGAAAGTATAATGCCGGCGGTTTGGGCTCATTTCAAGATAAGGGATGATGACAACAGCAAGGCAGACTGTGAGTTATGTTCAGCTAAGGTGTCGAGAGGAGGGAAAGAAAGTACATCGTTTAACACCAGCAATCTAAACATCTGAAGACGCATCATAGATCTGATGGCCGAGCGCGCGCGCGGGTGGTAATGCAAAACAAGCAGCGGGTGGTAATGCAAAACAAGCAGAGAAGAAAATAAAAACAGTCTTCTAACCTTTGTTCTAAAATAGTCGTCTTCTTTTCTGGGAGCCTATTACTTTTGCGGTAGAAATATCGGTATCGGTACTCGGTATCGGCAAGTACACAAATGTAAATACTCGTACTCGTATCGGTTTGAAAAAAAATGGTATCGGGCCATCCCTATTAAACATAATGCGTTTTTTATAATAACAAACAACGTTATAATATTTTAATGATATAGATAAAATATAATAAATGTGTAATATAGTTATCATATTTAGCAAAACACTCCTCTCTATAGCAATTATTTTAAGTCCAACATGCCTGCTATGGGTCATTAAAAGGCATCCTGAGGTAAATGTAACGTTACGTGACATATGTTGTTCTCCAGCTGTTTTATGGACATCTTTCCGCGGTTGAAAAACACTGATCGATCGATTTTATTAGCTACATTTGGGTAAGTTAGTAGTGAAGAGTAACAGATGATCGGTTCATGTGCCGCTTGAACTGAGATCTGTCAGCGATCTTTCACGTCACATTTACAAGCGCCAAAACTGTGTTTATTGTTTGAATTTCGTATTAAAATTGACCGAATCTGAGAGCTGAGAATCTGTTTCATATCAATAGTAACCTGCTCTGTCTAGTCTGTCGGTGTCAGTGTCCTCTTGATCTTTGCTTCGCGATGTTTCTCTGCGTGAGAAAATGCATGTGTGCGTGAGGGCGTGTAAAAAGTGACAATTGCGTCTCTCACAGTGAACTCGTGAGAGTTGGCGGCCCTGCAGATTCAGTTTGTAAATGTTTTCGGCGGGTGTGCTTCTGCTGCCGCGGTCTTGTTCATTTGCCATGTTGTTTGTGTATCTCTATCATGGCAAGCGCTGAGCCCGGTCGGAACTATGGGAGCCCAGATTGGCGCGTCGGCGGTTGTTAAAGAGAAAACCGATTTTCATTTAAAAAAATCGGTGTAAACTTGCGTAAACTACACATTCGAGTTAATCGATAAAATCGATTTATCGCCCAGCCCTAACCTGAACTGCATTACAGTTTGATATTTCTTTGATTAGTGTTTAAGGACACCCTGACACATTAGAAAGAATAACGAACACAGCTAAAGTGTGTTGATTCTGTAAGGGATTATTGTCAAAGTGAATTATTTAAAGTGAACGTAACTACAGAGGTGTCCTTTAAAGCAGTGGTTCCCAAAGTAGGGACAGCGAGGGGGGTGGTCGCGAGATGATTTCCAGAAATAAAAAACAAAACAAATTATAACGATTAGAAATAACATATTGTATCCATAAGTGTAACAAAATACTAAAAATAGTAGTTAAATTAAAAATAAAAACAATGCAAATAAAAAAAAGCCATCAGCCTTTCGATTTTCGCTGACTGTTACTCCTGAGGTGATGACGACAGATTAACGACAATTAACGGTCAATTTACAGCACCAAGTTAAACATTCTTACACGTAGGTAATTTTTTAGGCTTTAAGCTTAGGATAATATTTTTTTCGAAATGAAACGTTGGTTAATATCGACCAAAGACAACAAAGGAAGGCCAGCAGAGGGGCCAGCGGAGGAAGCAGAGGAAAAGCACCACCTTCAGAAATGTCATCGACGTCAGGTACCAAAAGAGACCGGCATGTGCATAGAGGACATCCATCAGCAGTCGGATCAGCCTCCTCCCAGTGTCGAAAGTATGGAGACAAATTTATCCAGTATGGATTCACATTTGTCATTGTCAACCAAGTACAACATCCCCAATGTGTAGTGTGAACTGAGGTGCTTGCACATGAAAGCCTAAGGCCGTGTGTCTACCAAAGCGTTATTAGCCAGCTGAAAACGCTAGGCGCTCTGCTGAAAACGCCTAGCTGTGGGCGCTTGAGAGCGTTTTGGCAGCGCAGCTTTTTTTCAGTTGAGACGCTTCGTTGCTATGATACAGATCCACGGCACAGTTTACTTGTAACTGATTTCGCAGATCATTTGTTTGATAGTACTAAAAAAGCATTGTTTTTAATAGACACGCCTCGGAGACCAGCAATATAAATTTTTCATCCATTTTGTTCGGTTAGCTCTGTTGGTTGATGTTGTTGTACAGAAAGAATGTTGTGACAGTTGGTCAGTGTAGTATTTGTCCAGCCCTTCCTCCACTGTGATTGGACAGCTGGGTAAAAAGTGACAGTGATGAGCGCTGAGTTTTACCCAAAGTTGAACATTCTTCAACTCTCGGCGACCTGTAAAAAACGCCGGGCGCTCAGCACTTTAGCATTAAATACTCACTCAGCGCCTCGTTACGCTCCTGGTGTTCTAAAATTGTGCTGTTCCTATTGAAAACAATTGAAAAAATACGCCAGCAGCGAGAAAAAATGCTTTGGTGGACACACGGCCTAAAGCCTGTAAAAATGCTACGACACTTGAAAACCAAGCACCCCTCTCTTGCTCCTAAACCAATAGATTTTTTTCCGACGAAAGGAGCGAGAGTTGCAAGGCCAAAAGAAAGTTCTAACTAAACAAACAACAATCCCTACCAAAGCTCAACAGGCATCAAATGAGGTGGCATATTTAATTGCACAGGCAAAAAAGCCACACACGATCGGGGAAACCCTTATCAAACCCGCTGCTATAGCAATAAGTCAGGCTATGCATGGGGATAAACTGGCCCTTGAGCTAGAAGCAGTGCCTCTGTCTAACGGGACTATTG